GTAGAAGTGGCTCAAATGTACCGACTTTTGATTAGAGCCTCACTATAGCTTCAGTACTGGGGAGAGGAGGCTAAAATATCCTACATGGAAACTAGAGAAGTCAAAATGAATGCAGGATCCTAGGATAAGAGAGGAAGAGAGTCATTCTTTCATTTTTATAGAAATATTTGTTTTTCCTCTAAAATTTGTTATAGTATTATGTTGCTATTTCTCGTTCTACTTAATTCTCTTCTGTTCATTGTTTCTAATGATGCAGATGCTAGATATAATGAAGGCAAGTAGTAGAGGAAGGACCAGAATTAGATGATGGGGCCACAGGAATGTCCAGAACAGGTGTACATGTGCACCAAAGCCCTCCGTGCTACACAGATTGAAACATGGAGAAGTTTGACCCAATAGGATGGCCCGCCAGTGAGCAGCTGTGTTTGACCAAGAAGTGTGCTCTGGGTCACAAAATACATTCCTACCTATGTCTCTAAATATCTTTTCTTTTCTATGGAATCATGGTAGAATGGAGTAGGAATTTCCCTGGGCTAAGACTTAGGAGCAAGACAAATTGGTCTAGACATTAAAGGGTTTTTTTTTTTTTCTTTTTTTCCCATTTTGGGGATTGAACTCAGTGACAGGTTAGGTGCCCCACCACTTGAGCCACAACCCTAATCCTTTTGCTTTTTAAGTTTGTTTTTCACATAGGGTCTTGTGCCTAGGTTGGTGATCCTCCTACTTCATCTCTCCACCCTCTGAGTAGCTAGGATATCGCTAGTTAGCTTTTCTAAGGAAGGGAAAATGAATTTTCTGTAGACAGACTGTTTCAGCAGTTATGGTAGTCTCAAGCCTTTAATAAGAAACTAAATAATTTTACCTAGACATTTATGTAACTATGTCTTGAGATGTTAGTGAAACACGTGTTGTCTTCGTGTTCTTTAGCACCTCCTCCCACACACATAACTTACTGAGTGCCTACTTTGTGCAAGACTGCTGTGCTGGTTGGTGGAGGTCTCAGCCTAGTGGGAAACTCAAGCAAGTTAAGAATAAAGGTGAAACAGAATGAGTGCTAGAGATTATAAAGGTGTGGGGAATGTAGAGTAGGGAACCTGAAGTCTACCTAAGAGGTAAGAGAAGGATTCCTGAAGTGGAGCTGTCTACCTTGAATCTTAGAGAGAAGATTTTGTAGAGAAAGGGAAGGCTGCCGACAATGTGGAAGTAGGGAAGAAGATGTGTGCAATCCGAGTATCCCCTAGACTCTGAGCTCGCTAACTCAGATGTAGTGATTCCTCCATATCTCTCACTATACGCTAGTGGTTCTCAGCCTTGGCCACATTGGAACCACACAGAGAACTTTTTAATGCCCTGACTAGGCCCAGTCTAGTAACTGAATCAGAATGTTTGGGAGCGTCTCTGAAGGTGGAGCCTAGGGTCAAGAATAGCTCTTTCTTCCTTTCCTATCTGTGCCTCAGCCTGTCTGAGACCTCTGATCTCCTCACTATTTTCTTTCCAAGCTCTTCACCCTCCTGTGATTTATTCCCTCCTTCCCTACTTGCTCCAGGCCAGATCCCAGAGTGCATCTTCATCCATGCACACCAGCACTCATGACACCTTAGTCACATCTCACTCTATGATTAAATGTTGTCCTCACCTCATGTACCCTGCTAGACCACCCCCAACCTGCTTCCTCCAGAGGAAGTGTTTGACTTCACTTTTCCTCACTTTTGTGTGACGTGACATGTGTCTGTCCCTATTCTACTCCTTTCCTTGCTTCTCACATTATGATGCACCCCGTATCTTGGGCAAAGCTGACAGCTCCCCATCTTCTGCTGTTCCCTCCTCTTCTCTCATTGCCTGGAATTCTACCTTATTAGTCAGGCCCTCCTTTGAGTTGCCACTCCCCCCACACACACTGCTGTCTGCTTTTTTAGCCTCTAAACAATAAAACATGACTAAGACTCTCATTGTTAAAAAACAAAAGTTCCTTCCCATAAGCAGAGATCATTCTCCAGAGGTCCCTTCCCGCTTATCATTGCTGCCTTTCTCTTCATGTCTTGATTCGTGCAAACTCTCCAGGTGATAGTCCATCCTCTCTTCCCTTCAGACACTCTTACTCCCCTTATCTGCCGCCCACCTCCCTGGCTGTTTCTGTGGCTTTGTGTGTTCATCTTCAGCAGAAATAAAAATGTTCAGGGATGAAGGAAGCTGTAATATAATAATACTCGCTATGATGCTTTGAGCTCTGACAGTATGCCAGCCATTAGGTGAAATGTTTGACAGTCATCTTTTAGTCCTGAGCAGAGCTCAATGAGGTGTAGCTACTATTATCTCCATTTTACAGCGCAGTTGGACAGTTTGAGTTAACTTCTCTGTTGAGTTAGAGTTTGGTCTTAATATTAGAAGGCTTCCTCCCTCTTAAATATTAGGAACATTTTTTTGGCCATAATGAAACCTTCCTAGACCCAGCTTTGTCCCTTCTTGTTAGTCTGCTTTCTATTTCTGTCTCTGCAACCAGACCATTTCTATCACTCAGACCCAATAGGGTGGTGTTTAACTTGGGGATCTTGGCAGGTACCCCTATTCCCTGTCACTTTACATAAAAGTGAGAGGAGCTCAGATTTACTGTTACCTATTATGCTAAGCTCTCTACAGCATTTCTCATTTCAGTCCTCACATCAATCAGGACCTATTATTCAGAAAAGGAAACAGAAGTCAGGTGTCCTAGATTACTCAACTAGCAAGTAATCAGAACAGGGCTTTAGCCTTTGTCTATCTCACCCTGGATTCTGTGTCTTGAACCCTTACAGTATTACCACCCACTTTTGGGATTTCCTTCTTCCTGCAGCCTTGCATTTTTGCCAGCATCAAGCTACTTCATGACCCTTTTGAGTCTAAATAACTTCCTAGCTGATATATTCACCCCTGGAGGCAACTGTACACTTCATGGGATTAGTTTTGCTGCCTTTAGCCCTAGGAATAAACCTTTTATTTTGCCATTATCGAAGACATACTCAGTTGTACATATCAAATCTGAAACTGTTGATATGTAAAAACAGCATCTACAGAGCTGTATTTCCACATGCAGTTTGTGTTGGATGGTCCTACCCGACCATGATTTTAGCAAGTAGAACAGTTGCAAGGCTCTGAGACCCTTGCCTATGGAATCCAAAAGGCTTGTGAGATTGGGGCTATGTCACATCCAGGGTATAAAAGGTACTTAATGTTAAAATCACCTAGAAATTTTGGTGATATCCCTTCTGAAAATGTTTATGGTTATAAATAAAGTAAATAAAAATTTCTCCATAATAAGGTTGCTATAACACAATAGTGAACATCAGAAAACAGCCTTATACAAAATTTTTGTCATGCCTTTTAGGAAGCTAGCAGGTTTCCTCTTTCTTATGTCACTCTAAATAACCAAGAGTGTAAAAATAATTTTCTGTGTGTATCTATACTCTGGATATGTGTCTCACAGAAAACTTCATGTGGTTTCAAGGGAGGGTCTGTTCATATCAAATGGTACTCCTGCATGAGGTTAAATTATAAATTGAAATTTGTTTTCCATAAAATGGTAGTAGTAACCAGTCATAAAAATAATTTTTAAAATTTCAATTTTGAGAGTGTTTACAAACAATACTCACACTAAATTCTCTATTCCTGTAAAATGAAACCCAAGAGCTGAGGTGGAGTACTGGGTAAGCAGGGATCCTCATAAGTTACAGCTTCAAAGAATGGGACCCAAAGTCTGACTAGCCAGTTTGAGTTATAGCCCTTAACTATCTTATGGGCCACATGGACATTTTGTCACAAACATGGACATTGCGTAGCTACCTGGAACACAAGGATTCTGTAATGAGTGAGTGACTCTTTGTTAACATTGCCTGGCCTGTGTATTTGATGATACAGAGATACCCCAAGCCTGCAGGGGGAATTCTTGCCCTCTTCTGTGAGAATCCCTGTTATGCCTGGGGCAGGAAGAGGGAGTTGTCAGGATACAATTTCAGGAATGTCAGGTGTTGTGCTAGCTTCCTGTGCTGCTTAGGTGGAGATCATCAGTCTCTAGAAAGAAGTCTTTGCTCATAGACTGAGAAATCTGAAACCATAGGAATTCTTGCTGGTTCATTTTATTCCCTTCTAGCCTGAGAAACCTTTCTTTCTTCCTAGTCAGAGACATAGGGACTAAATTGCTGGTGGTTTAAACAGTATTGTGACCGTCAAGAGAGTTTCCTCAGAGTCCTGCAGGGACACATGGGGACTGAGAGCAGCTAAGTCTGGACTTTAATTCAGTGGAATGTATTCAGACTCTGAGGCACTCCCAAGTTGTCTGGAGCCCAAGCCTCATGCTGCATTCATTGTTAGAGTTTTGCTCATGTGTGTTCATGAGAAATTAAGCCATTTCTTCAAAATTTCTGTTGAATCTAAACAGTAAGTCCAACTCAAAAAAGTTCGCAAAGACATTAGCAAACTCTAATAGATGTTTTGTTTTCTAGGCATTCAGAACACAATTTCCCAAACATAGTTGAGGAAAAACTTACCTTGGCTGTAACATCATTGAGCAATGACTTTTTGGGTTAATTAAGAGAGCTGGAGCCCCAGAGGAATTTTGAGCAATTTCGTTGTTTTTGTTGCCAGAAGGAGCTATAGAATCAAAACAAGGTGTAAATATTTGGAGGGAATGATTTTCAAGGTTGTGAAAAATGAAGACAGCCGCCTGGAGAAAGTGCTTTTAAATGAATTCAGAGACTTTTTTTTTTAATTCTAAGTAAAACTTAGACTTTCAGGCTTCTGAACTTTTGTGTAAATTAGCTTTCAGATATCACATTAAACCTTATTTGTTCCTGCTTAATAAATGAACAAATTATGAAGTAAGGGGAAAGTGGCCCATTCTACATGAATGCATCATGCCACGGGAACATTTATTCTTTCGATTTTCTGTACAGAAATGCTTGCTCACACTGTATGATAAACTCTTTCATCATGGCAGACATCTAACGACCCGTTTTCTTTCTTTCCAGCTGACTCAGGTGTTGATACCTCGGCAGTGTTTATGGCCAGCAGCGGAACCACAGACGTCGCAAATCGGAACAGCCCAGCCACACCACCAAACACCCTTAACCTCCGTTCCTCCCATAATGAACTATTGAATGCTGAAATAAAACACGCAGATGTCAAGAACAGCACGCCCCCCAAATGCAGGAAGAAATATGCACTAACTAACATCCAGGCGGCGATGGGCCTCTCAGATCCTGCTGCACAGCCCCTGCTGGGAAGTGGCTCAGCCAACATCAAGCTGGTGAAAAATGGGGAGAACCAGCTCCGGAAGGCCGCAGAGCAGGGTCAGCAGGATCCCAACAAGAACATCAGCCCTGCTGCCGTCATCAACATAACTTCTGAGAAGTTGGAGGGGAAAGAGCCCCACCCAGAGGAGCCATCGGGCTGTGAGATTTTGCCTTCCCAGCCCAGGAGAACTAAAAGCTTCCTCAGTTACTATGCAGACCTTGAGACCTCAGCCAGAGACCTGGAGCAGAACCTGGCCAGCTGCCATGGGGTTGGGGAAGACAAGGCCCAGCCAGGCCAGGACCAGGCCCCCACCATCATTGGGAATAGTGACTTGCTGCTGCAGAAACCAAACAAACCCCAGTCCAGCCCAGAGGATGGCCAAGTGGCCACAGTGTCATCCAGCCCAGAGACCAAGAAGGATCATCCCAAAACAGGGGCCAAAACCGACTGTGCCCTTCACCGAATCCAGAACCTGGCCCCGAGCGACGAGGAGTCAAGCTGGACGACCTTGTCCCAAGACAGTGCCTCCCCCTGCTCCCCAGATGAAACAGGTACCCCTGGGAAGGCCAGCCTCAGGTGGCACTTCCTTTTGGTGTTTTCAGCCATTGATGGAATCAGTCTGTAGACCGATCAAAAATGTCAATTTCAAATGTGAGGTTCTTCTGGTAAAATGGGGCAAATCGTATGGAAAAGATCTGTAGACTATTCAACCACACCTTGTGGTGGTTTCATTTGGATCATACATAAGTTGTTAATCCTGGTAAACATTTTTGCGAAAGAAACAGTCCTTGATGTTCAGTTAAATAATAAAAGAAATACAGTTTTATAAGAGAACCAGCTATTTAAAAATCCTCAGAATTTATTTAAGCTCAAGCTAATGAAGACTTAAAAGTTTAAAAACATTAGGAGACAGATTGTTAAGGATTTATTTCCCTTTTGATCTTCACTGGAGAATATTTGATTAGCCTGTTCAAGTGATATCTGAAAGTAAGAATGATATTTCTTATAAAATGTATTTAAAAGTTTAGGATTTTTTTTTTTTTTTTTTTTGATGAGACTGGGGTTTGAACTTAGGGCTTTGAGCTTGCAAAGCAGACACTTTACCTCTTGAACTGTAACTCCAGTCCATTTTGCTTTGGTTATTTTGGAGATGGGGTCTCACCAACTATTTTCCCGGGCTGGCCTCAAACCTTGATCAGTCTGATCTCGGCCTCCCAAGTAGCTAGGATGACAGGTGTGAGCCACTGGCGCCCAGTTGGAAGTTTGACTAATCAAATTGAGATTGGTTTTTCAGTACTTTTGTCCATACTTGCGACTTTTTTGTTTTGTTCTGTTTTGAGATCAGGTCTCACTGTGTAGCTCAGGCTGGTCTGGAAACCACTCCACAGTCCAGACTGGCCTCCAACTTGTGATCTTCCTGCCTCTGCCTTCTGTGTGCTGGGATTGTAAGTGTGCACTACCATGCCTGACTTTTTGCAGCATCTTTATTTGTCAGAGGTGTTACTTTGTGACAGAAATGAAAATAGACCCGAAAGTCTGCTATTTTTCATCTCATTTTCTCATAGTCTCCAGTGTACTGATCAGAAGATTGAATGATCTGGAGAACTTTATTGTGTATGAATTCAGTGTAAACAGCATTCACACGGGTCACCCAGCAACTGCCTCTAGCGAGGCTCAGGTTTGTGTTTAAGGAAGTCAGATATAACAAATAGAACAGGTAGAACACTGGGGAAGGAAGTGACTTTTTTCTAACCTTTAAGGCAGGTAGGTCACAAAGAATAAAGATAAGGGAAAGATAAGGGGTGTGTAAAAACATTAACTTGTTTAAAAAAAGAAGTGTTTTTGAAGTGTCCTTTAAGCCCTGGTGGTTTCCGCGGTAGATTTCATCTGTGTACTGCAGGCAGATATGGCGATAGGAGATTGAAATGAGTCCATTTCATCTCTTCAGCGTCTGGCCCTGGACGTCATCGGAATCACAATTATGTTTATAATGTCACTGAGCCCACAACTCTGTTATTTCTTACCCATTCAGAGAATTCTTACCCTGTACCTGGTGGATACTGTCACCTCCTAGTGTTTGAATCCACATAAGCCATTCCTTGAGCATCTTCCAGCCAAGCTCCACCTTCTGTTTTCAGAGCCATCTACCAAGCATGTCTGCCTCTGTCTTCCTGTAGTCACCACAGCCTACCTGCTGCTCATCCAGGCATGACACATTCCACTGTAGTTAAATTTTAAATTAATTGGACCAGGGTATTAAATGAATAGTGAAGACCCTCTATCCCATTTAGCCCCATTTCTGTAACTGCTACTTTTTTGGGGACAGAGAATTTCCTTCCAAAAAACATCTCAGGCATGTACCTACTTTATAAGAAACTTAAAATTTTAGGACTGGAGGCATAGCTCACGTAGTACAGTACCTGCCTAGCAAATGTGAGTCCCTGAGTTCATATCCCAGTACCATGGGGGGGAAAATTACAGCTTTGTACTGAGTATGTACAGCCTTTTGTCATTATTCTCTAAACTACACAGCATAATAACTACTTACATATCATCAGTACTGTATTAGGTATTAGAAGTAATCAAGTAATGATTTCAAGTATACAGGAAGCTCTATACAGGCTCTCTGCAAATGTTCTGCCACTGTATGTAAGGGACTTGAGCGCCTTCAGATTTTGGTATCTGGGGGGTTATGGAACCAGTCGCTCTATGCATATCAAGGGATGACTGGCTACATTAACATAAGTAATCATTGCACATGGGATTTTCGATAAAGTATTTCGGGCACAGGATAAAGAAGATAAACCAGAGTCACTCCTTAGCTACTAATTGTTAAAACTGGGTTGTGGGAATAGAGGTTCATTTTTCTATTCTGCTTTATGTTATATGTTTTAAATTCCCCTAACAAAGAGGTTAAAACAAGAGGAAGATCCCTCAAATTAGACTTTCGTAAAGCTTTGCTTTTTCTGCTTAAGAATATGGTTTTGTATGGGGGCTGGTATCATAGCTCAGGGGTAGGGTGCGTGTTTAGCATACACAACAGTACACTGAAAAAAAGCATAGTAGAAGCCCAACTTGTGCTTTCCTTCAGAAAGGATTTCCTTCAGAATCCTTTGGGATCTCAGTACCTATTTCATTCATCATACCGTGATGTCTCAAAATAGTAACACCAGTGATTTTGGGACTCCTCTTTTGGAAGCCTGTTACAAACCCTCCTGAAATGAAACCTCTTCACCTCATCGTCATACTCTGGTTTCAGGTCATAAACTATATTTCAATTAGTAAGAGAAATAGTGATTTTACAGTATCACTCTTTCTTTTGACTTCATCTTTTTCAGTGAAATGTACCTTTAGTGCTTAAATCATCACAGTTTAAATTGAAACACATGTGTTTTCTTATAATAGCAAAATTAGTATTTGCTGTATGTTTTATGTAGTATATTTTTATAAATGTCTTAATAAATATGTATACTAGCTGCTAAAAGGAAAAAAATAAGAGTAACTGTTTTTAAGATAGTGCCATAGTACATATATAAAAAGTACACATGTGCCATATTTACTTGCTTTGTGTTAAGTACATATGCATCACAGTGGTGTGTGTTTTAATACTAAATAATGACACAGTTGTGTAGGTTTAACTTTGGGGAGCCCAGAAAAACAGAATAGACTTAGGTGTACCTTAGGGGCTTCCTTTCTGAAGTAGCATGCTATTTATAAAGTAAAATGCGTCACCTAGCCCAGAGATACTTTCTATTTCCTTTTCTTTCTAAATTGGCCTCTCCAGCTTTTCAGTGACTTTTTGTCTAGTCTGTGATGTGTGTAGTCTGGCCCTGCTCTTTTCTCCTGTGTAGTGTGTCCTTTGAGAAAACCAGAGGCTCTTAGAAGAAAAGCATTGCCAATGTGATGATGTTTTCACAGGCATTGGGAAAGGGAGAGTGCCTGGACCCTGGGTCTAAACCAAATGTTTGCATCGTTTTCATAGTCTAAATGAGAACTTTGTGTGTAGTTGGGATTTTGTTAGTGGTACAGTTCTTTCATTGGCCTGAGGTAAGCACAGTGACAGTGACTCAGATAAATACATGCTCGTCAGACTCTCTGTAGTCTCTCTGTTTATGTTTTCTTCATGACACCTTTGCAAAGATGCATCATTTTGAAGAGTACAGGCTTCCATGGTATGAATATGTAGTTTATTTGGGCTTCACAAAATTGGAGACACAGAGTATGATACTAGATGAATCCCCCCACATACACACCACACCACACCACACCATACCATACCACAACACACCACACACACTGGGCATTGAACCCAGGGCTTTGTGCATGGTATAGGTAAGTGCTCTAACACTGAGCTTTACCCCAGATTAAAATGCATCTTACATAATAGCCATTTCAAAATTAGGCTCACTGCTAAAGTGTATGTACAAAGGCAAGAGTATGCACAATAAAACCAATCCAGATGGTGCAATAACGGACCTAACACTCCTTTGCTTTCTACAGAAAGGGACTCTACAGACAATTTCCTAAGTTCAAATCCCAGCTCTGCCACCTAAAGGCAGTTCCTATAGCCTCTCATCTCTGAAATGGGAGTGGTCGTAGTGTTTTGACATAGACTTGTTGTTGTGTATGAATCGAGAACATCTTTGAAGATCTATCTGGCATATCATAAGGACTGATCAATATTGTGACTTTTTATTTTAAATATTCATGATTTTTATTAGTAATGATCATTACCAGTACAGTGGTGTGGTATAAAAGTTTACTTTTAATTTTGAATTGGCTATTTTTTAACTCTGGTTTTATTTAATTATTGATTGAATTGTACTATTGGGGACTGAACCCAGGGCCTCACATATTTAGGCAAGTGCTCTACCACTTGAGCCACCCAAAGCTCATAACTTAATTAAGAATTTCTGAACCATAAGGACAAGAATGGGTTTATCTTCATCTTTGTATTGGCAATACCTGGATGAGCTTGGTAATAAGTCATAACTGAATAAAAATGGAGGTAATCTATGTATCCCAGACAGCCCTGATGTGTTGACCAGGTCATTTGATGTTATATCTTAACGTCTGATTTTGGTATTGGCTATATATTTCATAACTTAACTGATCACATTTTCTCATAATAGGTGGGGCTGAATAACCAGAATTATTAGGAAAGACACATTGAACCTCTAGGGCCTATTATGTGTCAGAGTCTATTCTAGATACTTTGTCACATTTAGTAACTGTGGTGGCACTTGAACCCAGGTCTTTGGACATAATGTTCAATGTTTTTTCATTGTACCACAATCTTGAGACTTTGGCATATGGCTCCAAATACTGAATACATCAGACTTCATCCTGTTCAACCGATGTGTGCGGTTATCTTGAGAATTCAGAAAATGGAAAGTTACATGTTAGAGGATCTTTCCATGCCTGTAAGGAATAAAAATTTAGATTAAATGCCAGTCCTGTGTGAAACTTTTCTAGACCCTCTGAGTTATAGCAGGTCCTTTCTCTGTACCCCAAAGAAATGCTTCCATGTGTGTGATGAGATGTTTGCTGC